CCGGGAAAAAGGGAGACAAAAAGGCAGGCGGCGGGAAGAATTTCGTGGACGAGGGAGACGGAGCGCGATTAGGGTGGAAGATGGGGGCACCGGAGTTCCAGCAATGCGAACTATGCCAGGGCAGAGGGCAACGGAGGCCCGTTAATGGACTGGCCTGGCTCGTACGCCGGCCAGGATACGTTTGTCCGAGAGTTTCACCGTAGACTGCCGGATGGCACACACATACAGGCGCGGATATACGTACACGCAGCGGCGGAGAGCTCCGAGGATCACCGCGAGGCGGTGGGTGGATCCATAAACAACTCGTTAGCCGAGCCTTCAATCTCGCCCCGCGCCGATACGGCCGGCGATCGCCTTTGCGATTATACCCGATCGTTATCTTGATTTCTTTTTTCGACCGGAGGAATTGAAGATTTCATCTTTGCTTTCGGTTCACTTGGAGATAGGGAATTATGTCTTCGAGAGGATGGGAGGTTTGATTTTTCTTGGGAAGATTGGGAAGATTCAAAATTTTGGGATTTCGAAATGGTTTTCGGTTTGGAGAGGTTGATGGTAGGTTTCAGTTTGTTGATGGTCTTTTGGAAATGTTCTGGTTTATGTATAGGTTTTTTGAAAGGAGCGGTGAAGAGAATGGAAGAGGATATTCGAACGGATGAAATTTGCTCGGGAATTGCGCGGCGAAAAGGGAAAATGAGATTCGTGGAAGAAGGTGGATTCCAGCCCGACCGGAAACTAACGGGAACGGCATCGAGCAATTTGAATTTCGGACGGAGAACAACCGCAACGATTTCGGAACGTTTCAAATCGAGATTCAAGGGAGGATTCAGGGTTAAGGGTGAGTCGCCAAGGGCGTGCTGCTGGAATTCGTTGGGGCCGCCGCTCGATGAAATTCCACGGAGTTCTCCGTGCCCCGGATGAAACGGCAGAACGAATAGAATTTTCGCGGCGCTTAACCGGGAACCTGGAAAACCCGGCGAGAAATGAGAGCGGACGAACGGCGGAGCCGTTCGAAATTTACGCGGCCGTAAAATCAAAAACTTCCGCGGCCGAGGTTGCCTCTTCGATCTGAATCGGTTCTCTTAAAAAAAAATCTGACGGCGCGTTCATACCTCCTTAACGAAACCGAAGGAACCTAGATACAAAACCTAGAAAACAATAAATCGAAGAAACTCGGAAGAAAACCATCAAAGCTGCACTACAAAACAAAATAAACTCGAACTTAAATATCCTTCATTGAAACACACAAATGAAAATTAAGAAAAATTCTCTGGAATTACTTTTGTACAGTAATTCGAGAATACTTGAATTTCAGAGAATGTTTTCTGAGGCGGACTTTGGAATTAGTTTCGTACAGTGATTAGAGAATACTTGAATTTTAAAGTCCGCCTGAATGAAACTCAATGAACATCGTTTAATCCAGCAAACTCCATTTCCAAATTCCCAGCCTTTTAAATATTCGCTCGAGCGAATTTCCCGGCGGAGGGACATCGAACGGAAGAAACTTTCGTATCGGGGATCGCGGGAGGTTGTGGGAGCAGAGCGGGAGCGTCTCCGGGAATTTACGTGCTCATAAAAATCAAGAACCGTTGGAGCTCTCGCACCGAGGTTACCCTTTCCGTCTTTATCTCCCGGAGAAACCCAGCCACCGTGGCTCCCGAGCGCACCACCGTCTAGAATGCACACACCAGTGCATTCAACGTTCCTCGCCGTGGAGATCGGCGCGGAAGGAGGAGGCGGGGGAGGAGAAGTCCGAAGATGCACGTAACGCGAAGACGACCGGCGTCGTTCGTGCAACTACGTGGTTCCACGGCGAGAGGAGATCCGGTCAAAGATTTAACCGTCCACCGTACAGATTCTCGTGCTCTAAATTTTTCAGGCGAGGGAACGCCGAACGCGAACGGACGGCCATGGAAGACTGGCCTGGATGAGCACCCCTGAGGTTTAAGACGCCATTACACCCCTGCGCTGTCGGCCGACGCCCCTAAAACTATATTAAACTCCCGGAAATCTTGCGAGGATCCTCTTCTCTCTCTGCTCTCCGCTAATTCCCTCCCTTCCTCGCGTGCCCGGCCTCACCCTCCGCCCGCTACAAACATCCCCGTGATCCTTCAACCCTCCCCGTGCGGGAGCCAACTCTCGAGAGCGGAAAACCAAGACGGTAGTTTGATCACTTCCGCCGTCGGGACGGACTACGGACTGCCGGCGCTGTCTCCATGTCGGATCGAGGAGAAACGATACTTTTCTTTTCTCTCCTCGAGTCTGTCGATGGTTATGGGAATGTTATTGGGGGCCGGGGGATCCTCTTTTATGATTAAACGCGAATGTCCGTGCGCTCCAGTCGAGAGGATCGAACGGGGAGAGTTATTTTTGAATGGTTTCGATTGTCCGGAGGTTTGTTGGAATTTTTGGATCTTTCGGAACATTGGAATTAGGGAACCTGTAAGTTTCAGGGATATTGAATTTTTTGAAGATTATTTAGTAAGTTTCAGTAGATTTTGATTCGCGAATCTAGTCTTGATAAAGGCTCGAATACTAATCTTCAAAATCGTAAAACATTTAAGTCGATAACACAAGCTTCTAGGAAATGAGGAAATTAGCTTGCAGATGGAGTAGATTTTCGGAAAATGGAAGAACCTAGTTCGTATTCAAGTGGAGTCTTCGTAAGATGAAAAGTATTTGACTCGACGATCGTCAGAATTTTCCGAAAACGAGGGGATACGTTTTACGAAGAATATTTGGCTCCGCCGAGGGGTACAAAGAGAATTATCATACGAGGCTCCGAATTCGCGATGGAGGAGTGGTCCACGAGAGGGAGAGGAAAGGTGAACAAGACTCCCGCCAAGGCATTGATTTCCTCTCGTCTTCATCGACCACGTTCCGACCCTCTTGGGGCGTCCCTGCCCTCTAACTGAAATCCTCGCGAGAGACCGTGGCAAGAGAAAAATCGAAGGAGAGCACCGTATCTCATATTTCATATCGGGGGCAGCATGGATTTTCTTGCGCGTCTGCGAAGCTTCGCGTAAGCGTAACCCGCACCCGATGTCAAGCGGATCTTCCCCGGCGAGCTCCACTTCTGTCACATGAAACAGAAACAGGAATCCAGGCACTTCCATTCGGAATCCCTCCCGCGTTTCTTTTCCTTCGATCGCGGAACGGGATTTCGCGCGATTTTCTTCCGAAGATTCACCGCCCGGAATCATCATCTATCTCGTATTTCTCTGAACAAAATCCTCATCAAGATTTCCCATCGAGTTACCCACGAAACTTGGAATACAAGCTACCTAAAACATTCGACCACTTACAACACTCGCAACTCGCAAAAGAAACAAATCAGTGACCTTAATAACCTTCACTCGAAAGCTACATCCCTCTAAAACTATATCTAAAGCTGAATCGATCGATCTAAAACCAGATAACTGTACATTTCCTATAATCAAAAACCCCAAGTCCACAATCCGCTAAACTAATACTCAAGCGCGTAATTCAAATTTCACGCGAATTTCCCGGATTCCCGTTAACATTGATTTATCTAGACCAGGACAAATCTTTCGAAGCAACCGAATAGCTCGACGGATCCATCAAAAATTGGCGGCCCCGAAAAACACTTTAGATTCCTCGTCGTCCGGCGACTCAACAACGAGCGGCGTTTAGTCAACGAGCGTTACCGGTCCCGCGGGTCCGTCCGATCCGACAACGCGGTTGTATTTACTATTTCACGGGTACACGAGTACGGCGCGGTCGTTGCTGGTACCCGGATGAAGTGGCCGGCGACGCGGCGGCTAAAAGGCCAACACGGGGGACGCGTTGTCGACACAACTACAGCGGACCGTGTAAGCTGCGGCGTGACGGGCCGCCGTTTTACATGCCGCCGCGTAACGACACGGTTACATCGTTTCCACGCCGATACCATTAGAACGGGCAGGCCGGACAACGATCCGCGCGGGGGGTGTGAGTCCACGGGCGCCAATGACGGTAACA